ACCACTCCTGCCCTTTACTATATCCCAATTGAATAAAAACGGTGTTTAGCTTCCACTAAGCTTTCCAAATATTCCAGTATTTGATGTGTCAATAATTACAAGCGTATGTTGACTTCGCAATATACTATTTTAACGACGTGTTAATACATAGCCATTTTTGGATGGGACCTTCCTGAATTGCTGTTTTATAACTGTCAACTGGCGTATGAAAGCTAACCTCAGGGGCGAGAAAGCTGGTTGCTGCTGATAACATCGTGAGCGGGAGGACTGTTGCGTGCGTGACTGGCATTCACGGAACAAGCGGGAAGCGAGCTCCAGGTCTCTAAAACTTCGAAAGAACAGCTAGTGTGCGAGGCCCCCAGGTGAGTGAATTTTTAAAGGTACTTGATAATCGAGGGCCTCGCCTCTCCCTGCAGATCTCTGAGTGGGACCTCAGTGGGGGTCTTTCCACCTATGACCGGGGCCAAAGTCAGAAGTGGAAAATGAACTTGGAGAGAGTGGGGGAAAAAATGCGCAACGTGGAAGGGGAGAGAAGGAGGAAGAGGCAGATAGAGGGAGGGAGAAGTGAGACAGCAAGACGATAAGCACGAAGGAGGGAGAGAGGAAGAGAGAGAGAACGTGGGAAAACTAGGAGGGAGCCCGCTGGGAGCTGCAGAGACACCCTATTTCCCCTGAGCTTCATCAGGCCGTCCTCCACGTCCATACGCAACTTCTGTGTGCTGGACCATGGTGACTGTCCGTGACTGGCGGGTCCCTAGGTGGCCCTGGTGGCGTGCTGACCCTCGTCCTCACTGCTCTGCTGGAAAGCAGTTCAGCTTTGGCTTGACTGGACTCTCGCTGCCAAGGGACCCTTTGGGTCACTGGGTCATCTGCATTTTTGCTACCGCAGGATGGATTTTCACCCCAGACCTGAATGTTTAGTCTTTTCCAAGGGAAATCTCAGCATTCTCTTAAGAAATTCCAGGAGGAAAACCTTCTAATTTCTTCGTCAATTTTGAATACTATCCCCGGCAATGCAGACCCTGTGTCTGAGAAGCGCTTCGGAGCCAAGGGGATGACAGTTTCACAGCGCCAGGGCGAGCAGCAAGGGCGGTCCCGGGTCCGTGCAAAGGTGACATGGATGGCCCTTGAGTGAGAGAGTCAGACGAAGACAAACGCAAACACCCTACGACTTCATTATAAGTGGAATCTAAGGAACAGAAGAAACGCACAAACAGAACGAAAACGGACTCACAGATACAGAGAACAAACGGGTGACGGCCAGAGGGGCGGGGCGTTGGGGAGCTGGGTGCAAAAGGTGCGTGGATGGAGAAGCACAAACGAGGAGTCACAGCCATGGAGAGTCCAGCACAGGGAACAGACTCAATTATATGCAATGACCAGGTACAGTGCCGCGTGGCTGCTGCAGTGACCGGGGGATGCTTTGTAAATTACATAAATGCCTGACCATTGTGCTGCACGCCTGCGACTCATAATAATAATAAAAGTAAAAAAAAAGAGTGACCCGTCCAGGCACGCGAACTGGTCCCGACAGCTCCCTAAAGCCTCCTGCTCATACTTCTGTTTCAGAAGCACCAGATGGTGGCGCCACAGCAAGCGTCACAGAGATCCTCCCCGAACCAGACTTTCTCATCTCCTGGGTCTTTTCACTCTCCTGTTCCAAAGATAAAATCAAGAAGAGAGCCAGCGGTTCCTAGATCGCCATGGCAACCACCTGGAAACACCTGTCTCTGTTGGCAACCGATGGCTGACGTGGCGGAGAACTTGAAACCTACAAACATCTTATTTTCATTGACTTATGGCTCGTTATGCAGATATTTATATTATTTAAGGTCTATGCAAAACGATCCTTGACTTCAGCTTCTCTGAACGTGATCTAAACATTTCAGACAAGTTGTAACTAGCCAAGGGAACGCGTGGTCACTTCACGCATGCGTGTGCTGGCACCGGGGTCCAGTGACACACAGGAGGGACGAGCCTCCTGCTCCGGTGGCGCTTACAGAAAACAAACATACACAAATAAGAATGTTAACAAAAAACCCCATCTACGAACCCGTTTATGTTAACTCTCCCACTCTGGAATAACACAGGCCCCGAAGGGTCCGCACGGCCCAGACCCTGCACAGAACCCACAAGGACCATGATGTCCAGTTACTCAGACCAGGCGAGCGAGCTGGAGGCCGCTGCACGACGCCTATCCCCTAAACTGGGGAGGGAAGCCCCAGGAGGGCTCAAGGACACGCTCTGTCATCAGCCAAGTGTTTAGGGGTCCAGTGGTCTGGGGTGTGTTAGGCTCCCCCCACCTCCAAAGGAAAAGACGCTTTTACAACCAGCACAAAGCCTCTGGGTGCTGGAGGCCGCGGGACTCACCCCCGGGCAGCAGGAACTGGCCACGTGTGCCAGGCTGGCCTTCAAAAGCGCTGTGCGAGCGATGGCGACATGCTTTCCCTTCCTCTCCTTTTTAAACGGGAAGTATCCACCGCGGTTCTCCCCTGCCGGCCCCGCCGCTTTGTCTTGGGGGTTGGGGGCTGACCCTGTCTCTTTTGAGTTCAGTGCTGTGAAGATGGGACGAATCGCGCAGAACGCCGCACTCGCGGGAGCGGTAGGAGGAGGCTCTGCGCCTGCGCGACCGAGACACCGCAGCCCCCGCAGCCCTGGACTGCGAGCCTCACGTGATGCTGAAACGGCCCGAGACTTGGGGGGCGGGGGGCGGGGAAGGGCGAGTGAATTTTGCCGAAATGGCCACAACAACCCTTCTGACCTCACCTGCTCTTCCAGAGCCTGGCCACTCCTCCAGCAAGAGGTGGGCTTTTTGTCCCCAACCCTTGAGCTCCAGTGGGCTTTTCTGCGACTGCCTCAACTAGTAGAGAGGATGGTAAAAGGGACGCTGTGCAACTTCTGAGTGGTCTGCCCTAGGAGTGACAGAGCTCTCGGGAGCGTCCCCATCTCCCTGGGGCGTTTGTCACTGAAACCCTGCCATCATGCCATCAGCGTAGCCAAGGAGCCCATCAGACAGAGAGCCTGTGGGTGTCCTGGCCCACAGTCCTGGTGGGAGTCCTTATAGCTGGCTTCAGCTGCCAGCCTTCTGAGAATCCCAGCCTCTACTTGGCCACGAGGCCGCCACAGCTGACGCCGTGAGGCACAGAGGTGACCTTTCCTGACCAGATCTCAGGTTTGGGACACCTGTGAGGAGCCGCTGCAGCCCCTTCCATTTCCCTCGGAGAGGTCAGGACGAACACGGAGCTCGAGAGGGAGATTGAGGTTGAATAGGTTAATTGAGGAGATACTGGCAGGTACGTGGTTTTAGAAGTGGAGGGTCTGGGTGACAGCCGTGACCTAGGGAGCAACAGAGAAGGGTGCAGGGCTGAGCTCCGGGCTCTGCGTGACCCAGGGGGCTGGCGGAGAACGCGGAGCCGGAAGGAGGATGAGGCCTCCGGAGACCGGTCCACAGCCGGGGGAAGAGGGTATCGCAAAGGCGGGGGCTGCTGAGAGTCGCTCTTCTCTGCGCCATTGGACACCCCGAAGGTCCCCGGTGACCCGTCAAGAATGCTGTTAGTTCAGTCCAAGGGGCAGAAGCCAGCGGAATGGTCTGGAGATGTGTGAGTTAGGCAGAGCTAGCACGTGACGGACCGAGGCTGGCCTTGCACGAGCGCCCGGCCACCACTCCCACTACCAGACAGAGACCGGGGACACGGATGAGGCACATGTGTGTCTAGAAGTAGGAACGTACGGGCTTTTGCCAAGATGCCTGCAGAGCGAGAGCCGCCGCTGTAGATGGTTCCGACCCCTGGCCCGTGCGGCCTGCGTCCGGAGGATCGACCGGCACCCCGCACACAGGGCTGCCCTCCGCCCGCCTCCCGCCGCCTCGTTCATTCCCTGTCGTCTAGGACTCCGTCGTCTTCCCAGCGGGTCTTTTGTTCGTTTGCGGTGGTTTTCTGGGGCTTTCCAGGCAGTGCCTGGGCCCTGAGAGAAGCCCACTCAACACTTGCCGGCTGAGGGCTCGTCAGTTTCATCGAACAGACGGGACTGCTGTGGGCCACCCAGGCACCCAAGCGGCCTATAGAGAGATCACGCGGCGTCGTGGCTGTTCGATGTGAACCCCCCAGAGAGACCAGAACTCTCAGAAAAGGGAGGAGACCGCCGAACGGGTCCCTGAGGCAGGCGGCTGATTGTTCTGGAAGGTTCATACCCGGTTTGCTGGGAACCGGGGGCTGTGGGTGGTTCCTTGTCTATGACAAAAAAAAAAAAATCTCTTCATGAAATTTCTGGATGCTGCTCCAACACGAGAGGAAGCGTTCTATGTCTGACAGAGCTCCAAGTTCTTGGGTGGGGAGCTTTTTCTCCCTGACACCAGGAGATGACCCCACCCCTCCAGGAGCAGGGGCTGTGACATCTCTACCAAGCCAGGCCCAGATGGGCCCCAACTGGCTGCAGCGGTTCCAGCTATGATGGTGTGGCACCTCTGCCATGTCCCCCGCCTGGGAGAGGACGAGGCGCAGGACTCCAGCTCACACCTGCGGGAAGGGGGAAGCTGTGCGGGCTGTCGGCGGGGCTGGGGTCGGGGCTAGAGTCTGGAGAGGCAGAGCCGCGGGCTGCAGGTGCCCGCTCTGGCATGCCCGGGGCCCGAGCTCCGAGCGAGGGGCCCCCGCAGCAGCAGGGTTCACCGCCCCCCCACGGAGCACGGGCGGCTCTGCCAGCGAGGTGGCTGCTGCTCTGTGTCAGACACAGACGCGCGGCGAAGCTGTCAGAACTCCCTGTCCCCACCCAGGGCTTGGCAACCACACAGGGATGAGGCCCAGGCCCGAGTGATTTAGCGCTCGCTTGGGGACACGCAGCCACCCGCCAGAACTGCATTTACCAGCCACCTCTGACACCGTCCGCAGCTCCCTGCGGCCAGGCCCCGGACAAGCTGTGCGACCACGTGGCAGGGAAGGACACGGCCGCCTTCGCTCAGCGCCCGAGGACTGGTTTTTGTCTTTGACTTCACAGACAGCTTAAAGTTGTTACGGAAAAACATTTTATTAAACATATCCTGCTCGCTTCCAATGAAATGAGTAATTTTTCACTTACAGTGGTGTCCAATGTTTGTCTTCTGCTCTTTTTTTTTTTTCTTTTTCCTTTTAAAACCAGCACCAAACGTCAAACAAAAATACCACGGGTAATGTAAGTTAACTAATGAAAACTATATACATTTGACTCTGAAGAAAAGAGAACAAAGGAATGATATTATTGGCATCGAGGATCTTTCTCTGTGTTCTGATAAAAATCAAGCCACCGTCAGCTGAGAGAGTTTCATTCGCACCAATGAAAGTAGCACCATAAGGTCATAAGACTCCGTAGCTGGTAACACATCTGTGCCACCGAAAAGGTACAGTACTTGAGTGACAGTATACAGGGCATTGTTAACAATGAAGAAACCGTCGCTGCTAGAATCACAGGGCTTCCATGTCCTCTGAACGAAGCGGAACAGGAGTGTCACGATGGCTTCAGCGAAATCAGTCACCTCCTGGGCATCGGCGTGAGCGAACGGGCTCGGGAAGACGTGGGCTTCGGCGAACGCTGGCGTGTTTAACCATAACGGCATCGATCGTTTGCATTCTGAGGGCGGGAGGCCCTTGGCAGGGGCGTCCGGTTGATCCAGTCAAGGTGGCCGGGGACCAGGGGAGGCGTGGACCCAGGCGCTCCAGCAAGCACGGCCACCCCGGCTTCCTGAGCTGGCTGCCCGGCTCTGTCCGCCTGTGATGAAGTACAGAACGTTTGGGGCTGGGAGAAAACTGAGCCCTAGCTCCCCGAGATTGAAGGGTTTTGTGGAAACGGGGCTCTGGGGAGGCTGCTGGCGGCGACACTACGGGGCGGGCGGCTCCATCCTCTCGGCTCCCTCCACCTAAGGAGGTGTCTCCACGCTTCTCTACGTAAAGTCCCCGCCGCCCCTACCGCTTGTCTGCCTCCGGGGTAGTAAAAATCCCAAACCAACGCACAGCCCACGAGGCAGGCTCTGGATGGCGGCGAGGTGGTGATTGTTTTTCTTTCTTTCGGGTATAAACTGACCCGAAAGTTGTGACATCAAAAACACAAACGCAGATACATAAACACAGCACCAATAAATCAAGAAGCACGTGGACGTGACCCCATGGAGAACAGCCTAAGTGACAGCCCTCTGCGATAATGGAGGGGGCCGTGGGCTTCTCATGGCGACGTCCTTGGTCCCTGGCGCCCCTGGGAACGCCCACCAACTTGCTCAGCAAAACAGATCTCCTGGTATCCAGAATCCCTGTTCCCAGGCTGGGGTCCCATCTTCCCAGCGCCCGGAGCGGGCAGGGTCCTTACACCTTCTGTGCTCTCAAAGAGGTCACTCTCGTCATCTCTTCGGGCTCCAGAGAGGGCACAGCTCTGTCATGAGGGCTGGGGGGACGGACCGCAGCAGGGAAAGGCCTTCTGCGGGCTTTTCCGAGTGTCACTCTTGCCCCACGAAGAGGAGGGGGTCAGTACTGACAGCAGGACAAGGTCTGGGCTACAGGGAGGCTTGGTGGGCGTGCAGTGACCCCGGAGGAAACCTGTCCCGTGATGGGCGAAGCAGCCAGGACTGAGCTAGCGTCGCCAGAGGTTCTGATCAACTGCAGAGAGGCGGTCAAGGTCAACGGGAAGCCATCTGCAAGGCGCAAAGCTTTATGATGTGCGAGCTGGAGCAAAGGTCCCCAGAAGGCACACGGAACCGTCCTGAGCGCTCCCCTTCACGCCAGCAAGCAAGCCCACGGCCAAGTTCGCACGTGTCCTGCTCTCGCTCCCCTGCGTGGCGGACATCTGAAAATCAGATGCCTCCCCAGTGCCAAACCTTTCCGGAATATTCTCTCCACGTGGGTGGTGTGCGGAATTTCTTGGCCCTGGTCTCCTCAGTGGCTTATGCAGATTCACTTCCGGGGCAAGTGCGTTCAGTGATGGGCAGAGAGGCAAAGTGCTGATTTCTGTGATGTCACAAAGGGCTCCAGCAGCCAGGCCCTCTCAGGAGAAGCCACCAGCAGAGGCTGGCTGGCATCTGTCCTCCCTGCCAGGGTGTCGCTGGCTTTCAGGATAAAGCCCGATTTCATGTCGAATGTCTCACCTTGGGATATTCGCCCCCATGGTACATCAAGCACCGGGATTCAAACGTCAGAGGAAATCCGAGACAGAGGCACTCGGGGACGTGTCTCTCTTTCGACAGTTGTCGGAAGTGTTCCTTTTGAGGTACACGGAACCTCAGAAACCGTGATTATTGTGGGACTCGTGCCTATTTTTTCCTTATTGTAGAAAGCCATCCAGTGGCTGTTAATATATTAAGTATAAAAGCACTAACGGCAAACGTCAAGTTCACGCTCAAGTTCTATGGGATCGGATCTGGGGGACGGCCTTGTGGGTGAGCGGTGGAGTGCTTTCGGGGGTCCCGGCCGCAGGACCCCTGTGCTCTCGGGTGGGCGGGCTTTCAACCAGCCGCGATGTCAGGAGGCGGACCTTGCACTGGAGAGTCGCGGGACCGCGGAACCGCGTGTCATGAGCTTGGTGACGGCGGTGATGGTGGCTGGCGCATCTTGTTGGCATAGAAGTCCCTACAGGTCTGGCAGCAGCGCTGGTACCACCGCATGTCCTGACAGAGGTTCTTTTCTCGGATGACCCGACAGTACACTGTCCACTGGTCCCGTGTGCATTTGTAGGTCAGAGCGGCTAAGGGGACAGTGGAGAGAAAAAGCCCAGGATTATGGCAGGCACGGGGAGATCACGATGCATGCACAGAGGGCCTGTGGCCTGACGCCCTCAGAGGCCGCCCTCACCAGGTGACCCTGGAGCCTGGCACAGACTGAGGAAGCCATGTCCCCTGCCAGGGCCACTGTGGATGCTGCTTTCCTACACGAGGACCCTGACCACTGGGCAGAGTTTGGTGACCTGGCTGTCTCCTCCGGGCGAGGGTGCGACACACTCTGCTTCTGAGCTAAGTGGCGCTTACTGTTGTTTTGTGGTGGAAGGTGTCACCGCTGTTGGCATTTATGAAACAGAGTGGCACTGGGCAGTGAAGGTCAAAGCGCTCACAAAAGCACGAGGTCACAGCACAAGCAAATGACTCAAATCTTTAGGGTCTTGGTTCTGCGAAGAGGGCGTCCTGACTGAGGGTGGTCTCTGGAAGATATGGGGCGGGGGGAGGGGACTCGTGCATGCGACAGCGGGGTTGAGCCTGGCCAGCTCTAAGACCCCCCAGGGAGGTCACCTAGAAAGCCCCTGAGGCTGGTGGCATTCCAGCGTCAGGGAAAGGGGCTTCGGCGGGAACACACTCTGTGGGGATTTCTGCTCGGAAAAGCAACAGCTCTGTTCACAGATGTCATCGGACCGGTGTCAGACCTTTTTTTTCTTCTTCTTCTTCTGGTGCCACTGCCGGCCGGGGACATGGCCTGCTAGAGGGCCGCTCTGGAGCGCTCAGGGCCAAACTGCTTACGCGAAAGCTCCCTACCCTTAAAGGCGCCACCTGTCAACACCTCTGTTTTCTTCTCAAGCGTCGGCTGAAGAACACATCCCCCCTGCGCACGGCACCAAGTCCTCATGAATGACACCCCCAGATCCTTCGCTGCCAGAAGAAAGCACCTCCCTTGGTCCCCCTCATGCACAGGAACCCCGAAACATTTGAGGAACACTCTCCCGTGCCCCCCTTTGTTGGCGGAGGGGCTAGTGGGATGCTAGGGCTGTGTTTAAGGCCACAGTCTGCAAACATCTTACTCACGACAGGGAATGAAATTCTATCTCTGAAACCTCTCTCTCCGACAGAACCGACAAATGGCAGCTCCCTCCAGGATTCAAATAAGGCTCCAGGAGGGGGCTTTCCAGCCTAAAGGACCCGGCCGGCCGGGGGACAGAGCACCTCTCCGAAGCTGGGGCCAGCAGAGGCACTCACCGAGGCGAGGCGAGGTGATGGTGTTCACATTGATCTTGTCGTTGCAGACCTCCTGGTAGCACTGTCTGTAGGCTGCTGGCTTTGAGAGGGCAGGACACTCGTTGCCGTGGCGCCCGGTGACCTTGTGCATGCACTGTACCACGCGGGACTGCAGGCCCTTCCCACAGGTCGACGAGCACTGCCAGAGACAGGGACAGCCTGAGCTGGGGGCCTGACCTGGCCTGGGGGGCTGTGACGGTGACCCCACGATGTGGCTGCCCTGGGCCCGGCCCCTGTATGTCGTTCTCAGGTGCTTGAAATAACTGCAGGACAACAGGGCTCGGCTGTGCCCCGTTTCACGATGCTATTTCTGACCGTGTGGGTCTCTCCACCTTTCGTGTGGAGCCCTAACCCTCAATGGCATGGCATCTGGAGGTGGCCTTGGGGAGCTAATTAGGTTTAGATGAGGCCTGGAGGGTGGGGTTCCCATGATGAGATCAGGGTCCTCGTAAGCAAAGGAAGAGACGCCAGAGCTCTCTGTGTCCACCACGTGAGGACACAGCAAGAAGGCAGGTGTCTGCAAGCCAGGAAGAGCGCCCTCACCGAGAACCCTGACCTTGGACTTCTCAGCCTCCAGAACTGTGAGAAATAAATGTCTTGTTTCAGCCGCCCGGTCTGTGTATTTTATTATAGCAGCTTGAGCTAAGACAAGATAATTGCTGAAATCTTACTTTACGCTGGCAGCATGTCACCTCCCAGCCCTCAGCCCTGTCGCAGGCAGAAGAGCTGGGCTTTGACATTCTTGAGACGCTGGCCAGGGTGGCTGCTTGGCGTCCTGTCAGGACTGGCCTGATGACCACAGGGGTCTCCCCGGCACTTAGAGCCGCGTCAGGCTCCTGGTCTCTGCCCAGCCCCGTGTGTGGAGAGGCGCCCTGTGATGACCGGGGGTGAATTTCCCACGAGACTGGCGGGCTGAGGCTCAGAGTAAAGTACGTAGAGAAAACGAAGACATGCAACCTGTCTTGCCTCACAGACCCACGGCCTGATGTGGCTCGCAGGCTTAGTTTAGACCCCTGATTCCTGGTGACTGACCCTCCAGCTCCCGCAGACTTGCGTTTGCTCAAACCAGGCTAATGGAGTTCAACGGGCCATCCCAAGCTCCCGAGGAGCGGACTGCACTTCACCACGTGGAGCTGTCAGCTTGCTGCTCCCTGTCCGGTTCTCTTAAATAAGCGTCTCACGGGGAGCCTGCCGGCTCTCGGCTCCTCAGCCCCTGCTCGCTCTCCCAGGAACCCTGGCGACTGTCTCTCCAGTAAGTTGGTCTCTTCTCAGCCAGAGGGCCAGCTCTGTGTGTACCCTCTCTCCATCCGGTGACCCCCAGCACCCCCACAGCCCGTGATTTACGGGGTTCTGCGGGCGCTCCGCAAAATTTGAATAAAGCAAAGGCTGGAGTAAAGGTGGGCAGCTGGAAGGGGAGAGAGGGGGGCAGGGCGCGACCCGCGGATGGGACACGCGGCGAGGATGCCAGGTAGCGTCTGGATCGCGTGTGCCCCCTGCCTCTCCCGCCTCGGGCCTGAGCACGGTCTGTGCTGGAGGAAGCACCCTCTCTGGGGACCTGTGAGGCGTCACCGGGCACAAGCTCGGCAGGAGGCTGTGCTATTACCATCTGTGCCCACACGGGCACCGTCCGCTCGCAAAGGGCTTTAGTACCCCAGGTGAATCCCTGTTTTCCAGTCTGACAAATGGGAGCATTTTTTTTTTTTTTCACTTTAGAAGGATAAAGGGGCCCAGAGGACATGGTGCCCTGAGAGGCCCCAGGCTTTTCAAATCACAAAAGAGGTGAAAACTGGGAAAACCACTGGCCCATTCGAAGCAGGAGGGGCTCCCCCTCGGGGACAGGCAAGGCCTTGGCTTTGCACCTCGCTTCACATCTTCTGGATAAATCCTCACGGCCTTGAGAATTCATGGTGTGTCACAAATGCAGAGTTCCGGGCTCCACCCCGGACCTCGGGGGTTGGCACTGGAACACAGGGGAGTTTGAGGGGCGCTGAGGTGGAGGGATGGGGTCACGTGAGGAGGTTCCCGCCAGGGGGAGACCTTGAATGCGAGACAGGTGCCACAGCAAGGTGACTTCTGCTGGGGGGTGGGGGTGGTCTCTGGGACGGAGGTGGCGGCAGATGGGATCTGTTGCATGGAATTACCTGGGGAGCTTTTACAAATCTTAGTGTCTCAGACCAATTAATCAGCATCTCTGGAGGGCCGCTGGGCACTGGTGGTTTTCAAAGCTCTCCAGGTCACTGCAACCGGCAGCCAGAGCCGTGAACCCCTGACTGACCCTGAACTTCTTTCCACGTCCGGTGTAGAAGAGCAGCCGCTCTCCCTTCTTCCGGTGGAGGAGTTGGGCATTTACACCCAAATACGTGTCATTAAGCAAGAACGGGTATTCAGCCGCGGCTCTGATCGCTGAGTCTAGTACAGGTGACAGGTATGGAGTACAGGTGACAAGTGTGCTCGAATATGAGGGCGCGAAGGTTTTCGCTCCAAATCGTTTTTAGAGAAGAATAAGCTGCTTAACATTTAAGTGAGAACGAATCCTCTCACAGTGCAGGGGCGGGAGGGAGGGGTGCACTTAATTATTCCGTAGAAAGATCAGCAGGGGTATAAAAAAAAAAAAAAGAGGCAAGAAAATTTAATGGTCTCATTCTGGAGGCAGAACTTCATAATCACAAACGGGGGAGGATGGTGTGGGAAATGTCAAATATCATTCACCAAAGCGATCTGGTTAAGTGGGGTACCCGGAGACTGGGAGACCAGACCGACGGGGTGACTAAGGGAAAAGGCTGAGGGCCCCAATGCAGTGCGAAATCCCGTGCGTGCCAAGGCCATGCCAACGCAGTCACAGCAGCACAGAGCAGAACCACGCCCACGCAGGGCAGAACCACGCCCACGCAGGGCAGAACCACGCCCACGCAGGGCAGAACCACGCCCACGCAGGGCAGGACCACGCCCATGCAGGGCAGAACCACGCCCACGCGGGGCAGAACCATGACAATGCAGGGCAGAACCATGCCCACGCAGGGCAGAACCATGCCCATGCAGGGCAAGGCCATGCCCACGCAGTGCAGAACCATGCCAATGCAGGGCAGAACCATGCCCACGTAGGGCAGAACCATGCCCACGCAGAGCAGAACCATGCCCACGTAGGGCAGAACCGTGCCCACTCAGGGCAAGACCATGCCCACGCAATGCGATCATATGCCAACATAGTGTGATCTTATGCCACACCTTGTGAGGGGACATCCAATGAAAGTGGCACATACAGATTCAGAACTATGCGCATCTCAGAGAACGCAGGGGGCAGTGGCCACGCCCACTCTGGTGACCTGAACAGGTGACTCTGAAAGCGGAGTGAGTGACGGACGGGGCAGACAGACATTGCAAACGCAGGGCTGCGCCGTACACAGCTGCTTGTTTTCAGCCGTTTTTGACCTTGTACAAGCTGCGATTTCATCAGGTTCAACTTTATAATGCGCTGGACAGGAAATGGTCATGTTTCTAAATTAAAATACGTAACTTTAAATGTGAATGTATAACTACACGAATAAATTACATATTTTAAGCAGGCATTCGACAAGTCCACCTACACGATTAAAGACTTTTGGATCTAAATTGGTCATAGAATTAAAAAAAAAACAGACAGAACACCCTGCTCCCTGGGAAAACGGGCATTCCCATGTACCTAGGGCCAATTTCTGTGGTTATTTGGCACTAACGAGACTCGCGGGGAAGAGAGGGGTCTACAGACAGCATCGGGACCCCCTTTTCTTGTCAGATCTGGACGTGGACCACCGGCCTGGGGCCACCGCAGCAGACACCCCCGGAGGAGGACGAGCCGGGTGCCCGCACATTTCTTGTTGGGGAGTAGGGGCACCCAGACGAGACGGGCGGTCGTTGGGTTTCTGGGTCCCCAGGGGACTGCACAGGCTGACGGAGAAGACGCCGGTCACTACGCCCGTCTCGCCCCCTGTGGCATCACTGCTACCAGGTGCCAGGCCCCGCCGGCTGGGCGATCAGCCCGGCTGAGTCACTTCCTGGCCAGGACCGCCAGGGTGGGTTTCGATGTCTTTTGCAGGTGTCGCTATTATGTATGTGAAAAATCCAGCAAGGCCTCAACCCTGTGGGTCTATTAACACCAAGTGTAAAATTGACAAGGTCTCCGCCCGGAAATGATCAAGGCCCATCGTAAACCTCAGGTGTTCAGGGGTGACTCTGACCTTGAGGACTAATTTCCCCTCTGATGGTTCTCAGTCTGGGTTCACGTGCTTTAGGGCTGCGTGTGTGTGTCGGGGGGATAGCTTTCATGAGTGTGCAGGCAGGGTAGTGTGTTCACTTGTCCTGTAAGATCTCCCCATAGTGTGGAACAGTCCTGGGGCTGACGTTGGCCGCCGAGCTCAGCGCTTTCATGGGAGGCCCGGAATCAAACACCCAGGTCACCTGATTCACTGTCTTTCCTAGGATGGGTCACCGGCTTCTAATTTTCCAGTCTGGAAGAAAGATCTGCTCCTTGAGGGCTTTTGAGCCCTGGATGAGGTTTTTGCAAAATTTTAGCTGGAGTCCTAGGGGCCGTTGTTTATACAGCTCTGGGCTGTGAGTGGCTTGTACTCACTTGGAAGAACTTTTGAGAACATCGGGTGGCTGCTTATCTGCCTGGGAACCAACCGTGTGACCCACAGAGGCTGTCTCAATGTGTCAGGAGAGAAGACAGGTGACAAAGTGGCACATCCCCAAACTATGCCACTTTCTCTCAAGACTCGTGTGTGTGCGCCTGCGTAAAAGTCTGGAAGGCAAACCGTGGAAACAAGAAATTTGCCATGCTGTCATCTGGTTTGTGGGACTAATTCGTCTTTTCTGTGTCTTCTAGAATGAGACAGAATTACCTATATGATTAAAAATAAAAGTAGAAGACTCTTGCAACGACTCGTTTTCCACGCTGGCTGTATTTCCATTTGAGTGGAGGGGGTGACTAACCAGCCTAAAATCCACACGTAACCCCACCTTCCCTGGGGTGGGCCTGTTAGCACGCTGCACCTACTCACTAGCTGTGTGACTTTGGGCAAGTTACTTACCCTGTCTGAGCCTCGGTTTCTTTACCTGTGGCATAAGGATAATAAAACCTTCTTTGCAGAATGGTTTCTGTGATCAGAGACAGTTTGGAACAGGTGCCTAGCTGGGAGGCTGGGGTCGAGTGGGCCCTCGATAAGCACTGCTATTATTATCGACAACAGCAAGCACAGGGCCGAAAGCAGAGAGCCGACCAGGGGGTCCCTGGGGCCCGGGGAGGTACACTGACACCTGGCCTTCTCGCTTAGCTCTCCCTGGGTGGCCAGGCCCGTCACCAGGCCTCTGCAGGCAGATGTGGGTGTCCATCTGTTCCTGGCTTCTGAGCCAGATGACCTCCGGGAGCACAACAGAGGCCGATGTGGCCCCAAAGACAAATGTGACCCCGGACAGGTCTGAGGGCCCCTTCTTGTGACCTGAGCTTGCTGCGGGAAGGATGGCACAGGCTCAGAAAACAAAATTCCATCTCGGCCTCCCCTCAGCCTCGGCTTTAATTAAACAGCGAGGAAAGGCAGCGTCTCTGATGGTATCAAATTAGCCCCAAGCGTCGCAGCCGAGCCATTTTTCAGGCGTTTAAAATCCAAGCAAACAGGTCCACAGAAAACATATCTGGTCTTGTTTGAAGCACAAGACCTCAGCGCTGCGTGTTTTTTTTTAAGTCGCTCGTTACATTAACGTTTCATGTGGCTCCCCAGGACACGGGAAACTGAGACAAAAATGGGGTGAGCAATAAATCCACCAGAAAAGCTCCTCGTCAGACGAGCCTGATGAAAAAGCGCAGCCCCTCACGCCCCTCCCCCAACCCCAGCAAGCGCCCGCAGCCCCGCATCACAAACAAGGCCTGGTGACCTGCCACCCAACCCACGGTCCCCTTCCTTAGCTCCGAGAGGGAGTCAGAGACACCTGGGGTGGAAGTTCTACCGGAAAAGCAATAATAAAATTAAAAGTTTTTGGTGCACAGAGGGCAAAAGGTTCATGGCGACGAAGGAGAGAACTATTTGCTTCGGCCTGTGATGCACATTCTAAAGGGCTGATGCGAAACCGAAAAAGAGACCTCCCTCCCCGTAGATGAGTTTCCTGTCCATCTGCTCCTGGACCCAGGTGACGACATCGTGCAAGCATTCCTGGCCTGGCTTCTCTGGAGTAAGGATAATCATAAAACGCTAACGGTGGCCACAGGGCCCGATTCCTGCGCGCCGTCCGCCAACCGCGAGCTGGCACCGGCTTCGCATCCACTCTGCGCTCCCGACGCGCGAGGCCCGCGCTCCTCACGGCCAGGCCACACCGCCCCGAGCAGGGAGGACCCTTCGCTGTCATCGCATGGGGGCCAGCCCTCGTGACAGGTGAGGACGCCCTTGTCCCTTCTCACGGCTGCAAAATCACGACTATAAATAAGACCCGATCCCAGAGGGAGGTCTTGAGAATTAGCTAAAAGAGGCTGTGAAAATCTCAGGAAGAGGAAAATGTTGCAGGAAAGCTTAATGCACGGAAGATTTCTGGGGCCCGCAGAGCGGGTACAGGTGGACCCTCCCCAGGCTGTGGGGCGAGCAGGAGGCCCGGTTAGGGTGACACGATGCGGGGTGGGGGGAGGGCGAACCCTCCCTGTGCCATGTGCCCACCCCGTGTTCTCACTGAGTCGTTCTCCGAGGGGCCAGCCTGCCCAAGAATGAGAGAGAGAGGGGGAGGGAGGGAGAGAGGGAGGTGGGGGTGGAGAGAACACCCCCACAGTAACTCCATTTTCCGTGTGTCTGACAGGCACTTGGCTGGTGAAATGTCAAAAGCTCTTCAAAAGCATTTTTGACAGATTTCCCCCGACTTGGCACGGGCAATGCGAGCCTCGGGAGCTGCCGAAACCTGAAACAGCAGGTTTAAACAATGAGGAAAATCCGCACGGTCTCTGCTCCAGCCTCGAGACTGGAAAAGCTTTCTTAGATACGCGCGTGCACGCGCGTGCACACGCGTGCACACGCCTCCCCCTTCAACTCACACTCCCTTTCAAACTACTTCTTCCTCCTGTTCTCAGCCTCAGCTTCGGGTTTTACTCCGATTCTCTGAATTTGCAGCTTGCTGACCTACAGGTTCTGGCTGAGACACTATAGCCAGGGGACCAGAAAGCCGAAGGGACCCCCGACGACTTGGGCCGCTTATCCTGACGGCTCTTGATTCTGGTTGGCGGGCCTGGAGCCCAGGGGCCACGCTCACTGTCCCATCGGCGACTGTTTCAAAGACCCTCCACCCCCGTTGGAGCCTCTCGGAGCCTCTATTCCCCCGAGATGACGACCCTGGCTCGAGGGCCTGGTGCCAAGAAGCACAGAGGGACACAGCACAGAGGAAACAGTGCCAGGTGGCCCAGACCTGAACCGACCGACCTCATCCCCGCTTCCTGCACCCTTCACTAGTGCAAGGCTGTGTTCCGCGTGTGACCATGGGGACCCTTCTAGCTCCCCCGGAATAATGACAGCTTCATTCCAATGCACAGCTGGACGTCTGCAGACCAGACAACGAGATTCTGCCTGTCACTGTGCTGGACGCTTGGTGACCTGTCAGGCAAGCTTTAGATGATTCTGTCACAGAACGCTTTCTGACCAGAACCTAAATGATTGACATCTCGCCTCTGGGACACACTGGTGGCCTTTCCCAGGCTGGGTCTGGATGTGCCTGGTTTTGAGACACTGATTGGTGTGGGTCTATAAGAGGCTGGGCAGCCCCACTGATAAGAGAATGTTAGCTCAGAAAGCCCCAAAAACGTGAACACTGGGCAGTAGGTCTGAGGCAAGGAGACAGGCTTAGTCACCAGAGCGCTAAGTCACACAAGGTACTAGCACCTTGAAGGCTCCGAGCAGCTCTGAGCAGCAGGCAGGGCCAGCGTCCATGCTTCCCATTTCAGAGATAGAGAGACCGAGGGCCAGAGAGGTCAAGACTCATTAATTGGTGACCTGGAGCTGTAAGTGGGCCTCTTAACCACTCTATCCCGAGACTCCACGTCCTAACGGCGTATTTATTTTGCGAGGGCCTTCATGCGAAGCCTCCCCTTCCATGTAAGAATCATCCAGGCAGCTCCATACTAAGCTTTATTACATTCATATGTTTGATTTTTGGACAAACTGGATTGTTGGCTTCGGTTCTGTTGCTTTGGTCAGATTTTCTGATCCAGGAGTAAATAGAAAGGAGGTGATTTTGGTCTTCCTCAAATCCACTGTGATCAGATGCTGCACTGTCACACAGCCAGGCAGCTGGAGCCTGAGAAATGTGGATTTTACGTACTCCGAGGGGGAGTCTGTAGTCTGACCTACATGGGGGATGGCGCTTCTGCAAAGACCAGATTCCAGTAAGTTCTGCTTTCCAACCGACTAACCATTCCTTCCTCCTTAAAGCAGAGCACACACCACGTTCCCTGCCAGAGCCAAGCAGGTAAATCGAAGCCCCAGGCGGCTGCAAGGAGCCTGGGGAGCCGGAGACCCCGCGGTCCAGGGAGAGGGGCCGGCGGCCGCGCGAGGACCCAGGCCACGGTGCCAGGTTGCCAGATTCTCAGAGAGAAGCCCAAATCCGAGCTTTCGGGTGACAGTTCCCTGCGTTTAAACGTTAGCAGCTAATTTCAAAACGTTTACAAGATCGTGCAGCCCACGTGACACAACAGTGGCTCTTGGGCCACCCGTCTGCAAGCCTTTGAGGGAAGAGACAGCCAGAGAGAAACGGGGAGGTGTTTTCGGTGGCTGAGAGCAGAAGTCGACACGAACGCTCTCCGTGCTCTCGTTCGAGATTTGGACGTTAGGAAATTCCATTAGAAAGTTTACAGTTTGGGGGAAAAGGCTCTTTAGAAGAACTACCTCGGGCGGTTCTCACACGTGACAACAGCACTTAGCTCTCAGTTGGCGGGAACCGGGAACTCGTCAGAGACACCAGGTGAATGAATGGAAAGGATTAAACAGCAAAGATCGTTTTTTTAAACTCATTTGAATGCTGCCTAATCCTGCCGCCCCAACACGATGCACGATCTCCATGGCGGAGAAGGCTCCTGCCTTCTCCCGCCCGCCCTCACCTAAGCATCCTGGACACGACGAAAGTGCTGTGCGCCCACGAGCCCCCTGGGTGTGTGTCTCGGCCGAGGCTGCCTGGCCGATGCGGGGCCCCTGTGATGGCAGCATGACCAACGACCCACGGGGTGCTGGGCCACGGCTTTGCGCTCTGGGGGCCAGTCGGTCCCCTTAGAATTGCACGCTGTGTGGTGGGGTCACCGGCAGGTGCGGGGTTTGGAAAGCGAGCGGTCAGACCGGGGTCACGGCCGTGAACCGGGCCCGTGAGGGGGGCGCGTTCCTGCCCCTGAGCCCCGCCCCGCACGGCCCTGGGCGGGCGGACGCGCATGCGCGCTGGCCTCACCTTGGACCAGTCCCCCGTCTTCCACTCGTAGCAGCCGCTGTGGTCTTCGCAGGCCTCCTCTGCTCTGGGCCGCGTGGAAGCATCGCATTTTCCCTGTGAGTTGGTGCACGTCACGGTCCGCTTCCGCGTCCCCGCGCCGCAGGTGGCCGAACACTGCAAGACACCACTGAATATGTAACCCGGGCCGGTTCGGCTCAAGTCCCGACACCTAGGAAGTCCCCACGAGCTGCCAGGCCCAGTGCTGGGGACGCGAGGAGGGTGCTGGGTTCGTGTCCTTCAAACCTCCTGGTCTTATGCACAAGGTCCCAGCTGGCCCCCAGGTCCATGGCCCCCAGTTACAGGACCCCAGGTACAGGATCCCCGGGTACATGACCCCCGGGTACACGGCCCCCAAGTACACGGCCCCCAGGTCCACTGTCCCCAGGTCCACGGCCCCCAAGTACACGGCCCCCAGATACACTGTCCCCAGGTATGTGGCCCCCAAGTACATGCCCCCCCAGGTCCATGGCCTCTGCAGGGCCAGACCGGGGCAAAGGCACCAGCTCTGGGTGAAAAATGGCGTCAGCACCACAGGTGACTTTTACATTTGGCAGCTGGCGGCCCTTGCAACGACTATTTTAATGGTGGATGCCAAGAACGGTCACAATGTTCCCTTACTTCCCGGGAGACGGGGCAAGGGACAGTGTGTGGGGGGGACCTGAGTAGGGCCTGAGGGGCGACGACGATGTGCCAGTGCTGAGTCCCGAGTCCCACGGCCTCAGGCAGCAAGATGCATGGAAGGAGTGACAGAGGCTGAGGAGTGGCAGGTGCAGTGACGGGGGACCCGCGGGGTGGGTCGGAGCCCCCTCCTGGTGCCACCACCTGGAGCTCAGGAAGGGACAGTGTCCAGGCTGGCAAGAGGGCTTCCCCACGTCGAAACACAAAGCAGAAGGAAGCCCAGGCAGAGCGGACTCGTGACCTCGGGGGCGGGGGGGCAGGGAGGAGAAATGAGTGACAGTGTGCATGAGCTGGCCAGCTATCAGAGGTGACATGGCCTGTGGAGCTGGTGTGCCAGGTGTGGAAGCCCCGTCCCCACTGCCGAGCAAGCACGTGACTCACAGAGATGGTGGCCTGATGACTGCGGTCGGCCAAGCTGTGCAGACACGAGGAGACTCAGGCTGCCCGGGAGACGCTGGGGGCCATTGCCTCCCAACAGTGGGGCCCAGCGCTCTCATCGGTGGGGGGTGGGGAGGCGGTGCTCACGAGCAGCAGGGGTGCAAAACGGACCCCAGCAACTCTGAGTTCAGACTTGCTTGATGTGTCTGTAGCTGACTTTTTTCAGCTATAACAAACTTGACGTCTGAAAAAATGCCTATAGGACAAATGTTCTTTGTATTTCTGTGATTAACAGTTATTCTAACGTTACCTAGTTTTTTTTTTTCCCATGAGTTTAATTTAGCTCTCTGTCTGAAGGTCCCATTGGGCTTTTTTCTTTTCTTTTTGAGGTGAATTTAGCTCGGCTTGTATTATTAGAACACACGTGTGTCAGAGCTGGTTGTGGTGTCTGCCACCTGGGGAGCTGGGAGAGCGCGTGCGTTTTCGCCCACGTGTGGCCGGTTTTAAGGGACCTCGGAGGCGAGGATCAGCCCACGGCAGGCTTCGCCCACTGGGCCGCCTGGGCAGGGTGCGTTGGGGCCAGCAGGGCTGCTGCTTGGAGCCCCGGGCTGTCCCCTGACCATTCCGCCAACTACATCCTCACCACTTGGCTCACAGACTCCTCCCTGATACCGATGCTCACACCCCTGGCCTCATCTGCAGCCGTCAGCCCCCTCGCCACTCCTGCCCGAGTCTGACTCTGCTCTGTGCTCCTTGCTGTTTTCCCTTGAATTTCAAACACCGAACGTCCAGCCTGTTTCTTGACCAAACCATGGCTCGTGCCCACGGGCTGGGACAGCGTTCAGCTTCTCTCCAGGCTCCCGACCGAGGGAGGGGGCCCGCAAGCTGACGACAGGAGAGAGTCACTCGCTACCTTTTGCTTCCTTTGTTGACATCTGCTCTTCATTCTAGAAGCTAGGAAGAAGCCGGGGGCAGACGCTGAGAGTGATCAGCACTGCTGGCTGAATAAAGGTGCTCCCTGTCGATTCAAATTCTCCCGTGAGCAATTTAAACCTAAGCGTTGCCAGGGGGATCAATGTCAGAGGGCCTTGAGCACGTGGCACAAGTGGCAGAAGCGCCAATTTTCTGAGCAAATCTTCACGGCGGCGGCGGGGGCGGCGGG